AAGCAATCTACTTCCATAAAGATTTACAGCCTTGGAAACCCAATGGAGGTCACTATGAGTTGGAATCAACTCGACAGCTGTGGGTGTGGTCATCTTGGGTTATACTTGTATTAGAGTTTAAATTCTGAAGCACTTGTTTTGTGGAAGGCTACAGTCTACAGTAGGAGCCTTAATTCCATTTTGAGTCTTGAAATAAGTTCAGATGCCAGTTGAGTTCTTTCTGACCTTTAAACCAACATTGTGGCTATGGATAGCCAAGTCTTAGACAAACCTAGGGATGGGCAGTTTGCCCTCAGGAAGAATGTGGTTGGAAGTAGATTATGCTCACACAAAGAACTAAAGAAATTGCTTGTGTGTGTCCTTTTCTAATTTAAATTAAGGTTGGAGTCCTGGTATTGTCTTGTTGCCTCCTTGGGGCTATGACTCAGGCTGCATGGTCATGAGTCATATCTGGACAACCACAGGGCCAGGTGGTCAAGACCCAGAACGAATCCTATAACCCTTTTTAATTGTCAATTATGTAGTATCCTTCTTGGTCCTTTCCCTGCTTTTGTCACCCCACCTGTGACAGTGATGAATCTATCTGTCACCAATCATGATTCTGTGATGATATCCTTTGTTTTCAATCATATTTAATTAGCCCCATGACCATGATCAGTGGGTTCCATCAGGCTTTCTGTGATGGGTACATGCTGATGGTTTCCCTCATTCTGCATGATTGTCTATTATGTGTTTGTCCTGTCTGAGGCTTAATAAAAGTGTCTCTATTGAACCTGTTTGAATCTGGGGTCCCTTTTTCCCTGGTATATACCCAAGGTCATACTTTAGCTCTCATGGATTTGTTTTAATTTTCCTCAAATTCAACTTGAACTTGCATTTGAACAATTGATGTTCTGTCCAACAGTCGGCCCTGATGACATTGAGCTTCTCCTTCTCCTCTTTACATTTGTTGTTGTTATGTGCCGTCGAGTCGGACCCGACTCATAGCGACCCCTCCTTTGGTTTCCGAGGCAGTATCACTACAGAAGTAGATTGCCCCATCTTCCTTCCGAGGAGTGGCTGGTGGGTTTGAACCGCCAGCCTTCTGGTTAGCAGTCAAGTGTCTTAGGCCCTATGCTACCAGAGCTCCCAATAGAGGTCATCAATTAGATGCCTGTGTATTCCATCTGGTGAGGTATATGTGTATAGTTACCATTTATGTTGCTGAAAAAAGATATTTCCAATGAATAGGTGGCTGATCTTGCAAATTCTATCATGCAATCCCTAAGCCAATTCTATCACCAAGGACATGCAAAACTTTTGCATTCCAAACACCAGGAACTGTCAATGCATCTTGATTGAATATTTGATTAATTTCACACTGTACAAGTTGGTAAAAATCTTCAATTTCCTCATTTCTGGCATTAGTGCTTGGTGTTAAAAAGCCAAGTTGTCACTTCAAGGATTAAGACGCACCTGACCCAAGCCATGACTTTCAATTGTCTCACATGCATGCAAAAGCTGGACAATGAAGAAGGAAAAGTGAAGAAGAATGATGCATTTCAGTTATGGTGTTGGTGAAGACTATTGAATGTACCTTGGACTGCTAAAAGAATGAACAAATCTGTCTTAGAAGTATATAGCTAGAATGTTCCTTGGAAGTGAGGGTGGTGTGACTTCATCTCATGTACTTTGGATGTTGTCAGGAGGAACCAGTCCATGGAGAAGGACATCATTCTTGGTAAAGGAGAGGGTCAGCGCAAAAGAGGAAGACACTCAAGGAGATGGATTGACACAGTGGCTGCAACAGTGGGCTGAAACGTAGCAACAATAGTGAGGCTGGTGCAGGAGTGGGCTATGTTTTGTCCTTCTGTTGACCATAGGGTCACTATGGGTCAGAACTGACTCAATGGCACCCAACAACAAACACACATTTTTTTTGTCACACATCCTCAGACAGTGGCATCACTAGCATGAGTTCGGGGGTGTAGTGCAGACTGCACTCCCTGACACAGTCAGAAGACGTGACATCAAAATGACTCCAGGGTCCATAGCAGCAGTAGTGGCAGTGGGTGGGCAGGTGTGGTAGGTGGAGAGGCCACCAAGGCAGTAGCGTCACCAGGGTTGGTGTCACCCATCACCCAATGTGGTAACTTGTCACCATACCCACCCTCCTCCACTATCTCCACCCCCACCCCCACCTTCACCGCACCAGTCAGGGCACTGGCCGCGGGCTGTGGAGTTTGCCATTAGGCGGAGAGGAGGATATCCACCTTGGCCAATGGGAGGGGAAGAGCTGCAGGGATCCTCAGAGGACAAGGGTGGGAGGGAAGGGGCTGTGGCATGGTGCTCAGCCCTGGTGGCGGTGACACTATGAGTTACCACACTGGGTGACACCAACCCTAGTGACACCACTGTCCTCAGAAGGTAGTTTACCAACCCTACTCTATGTTAGGAAAGAAAGTCTGATCTCTCTTCCACTTAATGGAGCAAGATGTGTCTCAATATGTCAAAAGAAAGGTTAAAACAATAACAAAACCAGTTCCCTTATTTCCCATTCACATCTTCATAAAAAAGCTGCCTTCTCCTCAAGCACAATCTCTGTGAGGTAGACAATGCCATCATACTCCTCTGTTAAGAGGCAGTTTTTTTTTTTTTTTTT